CTTGTTCAGTGTTTGATGTGGATTTCTGGGTCTGGTGCACTAGTACAGAACATAGTCTTTGAGCAATACAGAAGAGGGAGGGGGAGAGAAGTGGTTCTTACAGTAAAAGTGTTACGATTAACTCTTCTAAAGCCTTGTCTTACTTCAGTCCTCAGCATCAGGAAGTAACCTTCCTTGTAGATACGGGGACTGAAATATCAACAGTACAATCTTTGCCTCCAGGGTGTAAATTATCCTGGGAAAAGGTTAGTGTAATTGGAGCAAAAGGAGAACCCTTTAAAGTCCCTGTTATCAAGGGGACCCCTGAAGAATACGACTACTGCCGAGAAGATGGCAAAGTACCTCGCTGCTCCATGCAACGGAGTAGGAGAGGGAGACAGAGGCGTACTACAGTGGGTGCGTGAGTATATGGCAGGTCTCTCAGTAGGCCTGAGCTGGAAGCTAACACTCCATAAAAAAGGACAAAACCAAACCAGAAAATTGGGCTTTGGTTATATTTCCTCAAGGTCTCCACCAATAATTTGGAAGTGGGCATTTCTGTATTGTTGTGTGCTCAGTATGCCAATAGCAGAAACAAACACAGGAATAGCTAATAATCATCAGCCCTTTAAATGGTCACTAATACAAATGGAATATTCGGACGTTATCCAAACTCAGATTACTCTAGGTGCCCCCTCATTTGCAGCTCGCCTGACCTCTCTTGTAAAGACACATGGTTGGGCCCAGGGGTACATAAGACCCTTCTACATGTGTCCTGCTAGCAATCCAGGGAGAGGATACTGTAACTACCTAGGAGAATATTACTGTGCTTACTGGGGCTGTGAAACAATAGCATCAGATTGGGTGCCAGGAGGAGGAAAAGACCAATTCTTGACCACAAGATGGGGACCTCCAGGATGTATAAAGCCCGTCCATGGACTCTACGGGACTGTTTAAAAAGGCACATGTAAGCATATCTATCTTAACATTTCAAACCCTGGGGATCCGGGGTGGATAATAGGAAGAACTTGGGGAATCAGATTTTGGCAACCAAACACAGATGATGGGGGAATAATCCTTTTAAAGAAGGAGACAATACCTAATGACCCCTCAAGTGTGGGCCCAAATACTGTCATCATTGAGAATAAAGAACCTAAACCAAGAGTTACTTCCCCTCTCGAAGGGGAATACTAAAAATATTAACCCAGGCACCCCCAATTGAATCTGAAACCCCAATGCCAACCCCAGAGGTGAGCCTGTTATGGAACATGTTACAAGCTAGTTATCAAGTTTTGAATGCCACAAACCCAAACTTAACCGAACATTGTTGGTTATGCAATGACATTCGCCCTCCCTTCTATGAAGCAATAGGGGTAGACCGCCGCTACAGGAAGGCAAATGGTACAAACCCATCTGACTGCTTATGGAATAAAGAATCTGAGCGTAAACAGGGGATAACCATGTCACAGGTAACCGGGAAAAGAAGATACATAGGTAGAGTCCCAAAGACGAAACAACACCTATGCAACAGTACCGTTGCTAAACCCACGGGTAAACCAACTAATTGGTTACTCCCTGCTGAAAACACGAAATGAGTCTGTTCTCAAACAAGTTACACCCTGTATATCTATGAGAATCTTTAACTGGACTACAGAATTTTGTGTTCAGGTACTTGTGGTCCCTAGGTTAATTTACCATCCTGAAAGTTTTGTGTACGATCACCAGACCACCCCATTCCATCACATACAGAAGCGTGAACCCTTTACCGCTTTAACTGTAGCAACCCTTATGGCCATTGGAGCTACAGGAACTGGAACCGGAATAACCTCACTAGTACAACAAAATCAAAGAATTCAATCCCTTAGAATAGCAGTAGATGAAGATCTAACTAGAATAGAGAAAACCATGACTGCTTTTGAACAGTCTGTAAGGTCATTGTCATTAGTAGTACTGCAAAACAGATTAGACCTAATGTTTTTACACCAAGGGGGTCTCTGTGCTGCCCTCCAAGAAGAGTGTTGTGTATACGCAGATCACACAGGGGTAGTTAGAGACACCATGTCTAAATTACAAGAAGGACTGGAAAAACACCAGAAAGAAAGAGAGACACAACAAAGCTATGTTTAATTATTCACCTTGACTAACTACTCTGTTGTCAACTATTGCAGGACCTCTTATTCTATTAATTTTAGGACTAACATTTGGACCATGTATTTTCAATAAAATTATTGCCATTTTTAAAGGATGTTTGGAAACTGCACATTTGATGCTGCTAAGGAAACAATATGAACAAATCAAAGAAGGAGAAACCATTTTGGTACTCCAACCAGCCAGGGAAGCTTTAGATAGATTTAATGAACAAAATGAGGATCAAAAAGAAAAGGGGGGACTGTAATAGAAGGGTTAACTTTGTTCATAAAATCCTATGTGTGTGGGGGAGTAGGGGACTTTTGTTGTAATTAAACAAGACAAGTTTCAATAGAAAGATCACAGACATCCTATTAATCAAGCAAGTTTCAGTAGAGGTAATTGCAGACATCCTGCTAAGCAAACAAGTGTCAGTATCGGTGGAATTCACAATTGATAAGAACTACGACTCTCATCCCTGACGAATTCCAGGCGGCAGATAACAACCACCTAGACTCCCCAGACTGCCTAGCATTGTTTTGCTCTGTTATTGCTTGCTTAATAAATATATCAATGTTTAATTGGAACTTTGTCCAAATTCTTGTACAAATTTATAACACATTCATGCACATACAGAACTTCCTGTACTGGCACCTTTTGTCTGGGAGGAATCTTCATTCTTATTCCATTTTCAGGCTCAGACAGACAATTCCAGCACAGGGGTTCTGAAACCAAACAAATGCATTTGCACGCAGGAAAAAAAACCCTTTAACTCCATCTCTCCTGCGCAATTTGTGAGCCACTCTTGGCACTCCATGCAGACACAGAACTTCCTATGCTGGCACCTTTTGTCTGGCAGGAATCTTCATTCTTATGCAATTTTCAGACTCAGACTGAGAATTCCAGCACAGGGGTTCTGAAACGAAAAAAATGCATTTGCACACAAGAAAGAAATACCATACCCTCAAACTCTCCTGTGCAATTGGTGTGCCACTCTTGGCACTCCATGCACACCTGGAGCTTCCTGTGCTGGCACCTTTTGTCTGGCAGAAATCATCATTCTTATTTCATTGTAGGACTCACACTGACCATTCCAGTGCAGGGATTCCGAAACCAAACAAATGCATTGCCACCATGGAAAGAATGCCTTTATTCTTCATCTCTCCTGTGCAATTGGTGAGCCACTCTTGGCACTCCATGCACAAACAGACCTTCCTGTACTGGCACCTTTTGTCTCAGAGGAATCTTCATTCTTATGCCATTTGGGGAATCAGGCTCTCCATTTCAGCGTGAGGGTTTTGACACCAAACAAATGAAGTTCCACCGAGGAGAAAAAACCCTTACCCTCCAACTCTCCCGTGCAATTGGTGAGCCACTCTTGACACTCCATACACACACAGAGTTTTTTGTGCTGGCACCTTTTCTCTAGGAGGAATTTTCTTTCTTAGTCCATTTAGGAATCAGACTCTCCATTTCAGTGCAGGGGTTCTGATACCAAAGAAATGCATTTCCATACAGGAAAAAAAGGCCTTACCCTCTATCTCTCCTGTGCAATTGGTGAACCACTCTTGACACTCCATACAGAGATAGACCTTCCTGTGCTGGCACCTTTTGTCTTCGAGGAATTTTCATTCTTATGCCATTTGGGGCCTCAGACTGACCATTTCAGCGCGGGGTTTCTGACACCAAAGAAATGCCTTTCCAATCAGGGAAAAAAACCCTTACCCTCCAACTCTCCTGTGCAATTGGTGAGGCACTCTTACCACTCTATGAACACATAGAGCTGTCTGTGCTGGCATGTGTTCTCTTGGAGAAATCTTCATTCTTATTATATTTTGGGACTGAGATGGAGAAATTCAGTGCAGGGGTTCTGATGCCGAACAAAAGCATTTCCACCCAGGAAAGAAAACCCTTACCCTCCATCTCTCCTGTGCAATTGGTGAACCACTCTTGGCACTCTATGTTCACATAGAGTTTCCTGTGCTGGCACCTTTTGTCTGGGAGGAATCTTCATTCCTAGTCCATCTTGGGACCTCAGACTGACCATTTCAGCAGGGGGGTTCTTACACCAAAGAAATGCATTTTCACCCAGAAAAAAAAGCCCTTACCCTCCATCTCTCCTGTGCAATTGGTGAGCCACTCTTGGCACTCCATACACAGATAGAACTTCCTGTTCTGGCACCTTCTGTCTGGTGTAGTAGTCATTAGTTGTGTGTTACTTCTACTCCAGTTTCTTCATTTGTCACTTCTGATGATTGCTCTTGCTCTGAAAGAGGGTTAATATAAGGCCTGACATATCTAGAAGGAATGTACTTTAGTTTAGTACCTGTGGATACACAGGCATATCCTCTCCCCCATGTCACGAGGTCCACTGGTCCTGACCACTGTCCTGATATTAAATCTTTTATCATGACTGGTGGTTTGGGAGAGTGTCGTGGTTTTACCTACCAGTCAGCCCCTGGGGCTGAGGATGGTTTTGTCCAGATAGATTTCCAGACAAAAAAACAATCAGAACTCTCAGTAATGTCTTTGCTAATTACATATTTAAGAAAACTGAAGAGAAGGTTGTAGCACAGTTGAAATTAGTAGCAGTTGAAATTGGTAGTCATGTAGGAGCGGTGGTGGGCCCCAGGTGGGGGCCAGGCCTCCCTCCTCCCCAAGGAGGACAGGTGTGGCACTGAAACCCCCCTTCTCTCCTGTAGGAGAGTAGAGAAAAAAAACTTTAGAGGACTGACTACTTGGATGAAAAACCGTTGCAGAAGAATTCCAGCAGAGAGATAAGGGACCTCCAAGGTCAAAGCTAGCAGCCGCAGGAGAGAGAAGAAAAGTTTGAAGGGGGGTTTGTTTCTCCCCCCTTTTGCTCTCTCCCTTCATCAGGGAAAAGACGGAAAAATAAATCCCTGCTACCTTTGAAAAATTGTTGGGGTGAGGAGACCCCCATGCAGTTCACAAAGGAGTTTGTGGATGTACAAGGAAGTCGAGACTTCATGAGAAGAGTTGAAATGAAACAGAGTCCTGTTGAAGATTTATTACCCTGAGAGGGATGAGGCTTACGTCGGAGTGAGAACGGCTCGGGAAAGCTTGGGATTTCAGTGAGAGATCCATGCTGCTGGTGCAGGAAATTTGTGACCCTGAGAGAGACGAGACTTACGTCGGAGCGAGGACGGCCTGGGTGAGATGATGTTGGGATCTGTGTGTGGGATCCATGCTGCTGCTGCTGCTGAAGATTTGTGACCCTGAGAGAGAGACTTACACCGGAGTGAGAACGACTCGGGTAAGCTTGGGATCCAAGTGAGGGATCCATGCTAGACCCACGTCGGAGAGGTCTATCAAGGACTGTTTTCCCATGGGGAGGGACCTCCACAGGGAACAGGGGTGGACTCAAAAGCCATTATCCCCTGTGACCCTGTGGTGAAGATCCATGGTAAGCAAGTGTCCCTTTGCAAGCCCATGGAAGAGAAAACCTTCAGGGTCTGGGTAACCCCCAGCCTCTGGTCTTAGCCCAGGAGGGGAGTAGGCCCAGCCCTGGAGGCCAACAGAGAAAGAGAGAAAGAGTTCCAGTTACGATGAATCGGAGTTGTTGTCCTGAGATAACAGAGGAAGAGCTTTAAAGTGCTGTAGAGTTATTGAAGAGACCTGGAGCTCTGAGAATGGAGAAAGAAACTGCTTCTCCTCCTTGGACTGATATAAAGGGGGGAGAAGTATTTCTGTAAATACATAGTACTTTTACTTAAGTAGAATTGTTGTAGATATAGTTCTTTAGTAGTTTTTATTTTGCTAGTAATAAATATTCATATTATTTTCCCAAATCAGATCTCTTTTGTCTGCATAAAACTTCTCTCAAAGTAATTGTGTGGGGGGTGAGAGCAAATTGACCCAGAGCAAAACCACGACAGAGAGGAAAGTACCTGAGGTTAGTGTTGATGTTTGTACCTGCTATGGTCTGTGTCATCACAATTTAAAAAATTTAAGACACATGATGCTTTCCACAGACGTTCCTGTGGACTATAGATAGATTCCCCCCATTTTGTTTTTGCAGCATTTCCTTCAATGTGTGGTGTACTCTCTCCTCGATAGTTTGTCCTGTGGGTGAGTGTGGTATGCCTGTGGAATGAAATACCCCCTGATCCACGAGAAATGTTTTGACTTTTCAAGAACAATATGCAGGACCATTAGCTGTCTTTATGGTTTTTGGAATTCCTAAAGTTGCAAAGGAACTAAACCAGTGTCTGATAACATCCCTTGCCTTTTCCCCAGTGTGTGCAGTGGTATTAATGTATTTGGAGTGTGTGTCTACTGTAACATGGACATACTTTACCAATCGAATTCAGCTAACATCCATTTGCCAAATTTCATTGGCTGTTATGTCTCGGGGATTACCCCTTCTTTAGATGGCATTGGGGCAATTTGCTGACAGTCAGGACATGACATGATGATATCTTGAGCTTGATTCATTGTGAGTTGGAACCACCTCTTTTGAGAGTGGGCATTTTGATGAAAGAATTGGTGGGAGAGCTTGGCCTGCTCGAGAGTTTTGGGAACTGTAGCAATCATAGCAGCAGCATCTGTTCTTTGATTGCCCTCCACTATGGGTCCTGGAAGTTCTGTATGGGAACAAACATGCATTATATAAAAGTCAATTTTTCTGTGGTTGACAAGGAACCATAAAGTATGTATCTCTGGGAACAAATAAGGATTAGTGACATCTTGAAGGAAAGAGATTTTGAGACGTGAAACCAACCCCACGGCATAACACGAATCAGTAATGATATTCAGTGGTTGATCACAAAACAATTCAAAGGCTGTGCAGATAGCAACAAGCTCTAACACCTGTACAGAAACTTGGTCTATGGTCTGTACTTGATTGTTCCAGTAACCTGTGACAGGATCTATCTATGTCACTGCAGCCTTTTTTGAACATCCAGATGCATCAGTAAAAACAGTGATGCTGATATAGGGTGTAGCCAGCAAAGACACATAACCATTAAAGGTAGATTCCCAATTTCTGCCCAGAGTCTGTGCTTAGGAAAGTGAATGGAAATGTCACCATTGTAGTCTACCAACGCAGCCTGAAATCCAGCATCCTCTGCGAGAAACCAGTTCAAGTTGTCTTTGTTTGCTGGAATGTAGATAGTCTTGGGGTCCCATCCATCCATCTCCTGCACACATCCTCTACCTTTAACAACAAGTTTAGTAAACATATCATTAATAGTCCAGACAGTCTTAGGTGGAGAGTGGGGCAGAAACAACCATTCCAGAATCCTCAGGGGATGAGACTCCATCTGATCCCACTGGAAAAGGATGGTAAAGGGTTGAAACTTGCTGGAAATCAGGGCAAGGTGAACGTGTAGGTCAGGGTGTTGTCATCTACCTTGCCTGTTTTCAGTAGCCTGAGAGCATATTTTTAGAGCCTGTTTTGCTTCTGTGGTTAGGGACTGAGTAGAGGTTAAAGTAGGGTCACCTTTAAGTAACTCAAAAACGGGGTGCAGTTCCTCTGTTGTGATGCCTAGAATAGGCCGAAGCCAGTTAATGGCTCCTAATAGTCGTAAATCATTTAATGTTAGAGTGTCTGTTACCTTAAGAGTCAGTGGTTGTGGCACAATCTCCTGCTGCGTGATCTTCCATCTGAGGTAGGCCCGGGGTTGAGGTCGTTGGATCTTTTCTGGAGGGATCTGCAACCCTGCTTCTTGAACAACATTGGTTAGAGCAGTCATAATAAATTGTAATTCAGTCTCTTGGGCAGCAGTCACTAAGATGTCATCCATAGAGTAGTAAATGACAGCTGAAGGGTAAAGCTTCCGAGTAGGGTGTATGGCATTAGCCACCACTGTTTGGTGAATGGTTGGACTGTTAAGCATGCCTTGTGGAAAAACAACCCAGTGGTAGACTGGGGGTGCTAGAGATAATAAAATAGAAGAAAAAGGAGGGGGTATCTAGCTCTTACTCTGTCTCTTCCAACCCCAGCACTGCTTCACAGCCTGCCAAGTGTATCGGTAATGATGAGTGGCCAATTAGGATGTTGTTGCTTGCTTGCTACTTGCTTGCTACTTGCTCACTACTTGCTTGCTGGTTTTTGAAAATGATATAAAAGGAACTGGGATTTAATATAGAAGAAGGTCTTTTCTTATATTGCCCTGAATCAACCTTCTTGTGTGTTTTTTATTGGACGGTCACAACTTAATGGCGACACCCCACACTTGTTCAACTCGTGGCAATCACTACAAGTAGGGCAAGGGGAAACAAACATGATCTTTGGCGTATTTTTATTTTTACACAGCTCTTTTGCAGGCAACTGCAGGTAGCATGGGCTGTGGGAGGGACTGACATGCAAGAGGGGGCATTCAGGGCAATGCATGTGCAGCTTCGGGCATCTCCAGACTTTGGTCCCTGGGTGAACAGGAGCTGCAGTAGGGTGCAAAAGAGTAAACCTCTGTATTTAAGGAAATTTATCATCTTGTGCTGAGACCCAAAAGCATAAGCAAACCTGAATGCAGAGAGCAAAGTTGCCCCATGCTTTACCAATGCAGTGCATCATAAGCATCATGCCATCAACTTTGGCAGGGACCAGGTTCCAGTGCAGGGGTAGACACACACGTCCACTGAAAAGAACAGAACTGCGGGGTTTTAAAGGTAAATCAGTCCTCAGATAAAGCTTGAGGCACAACCCCATCACCCCAGCAGAGCAAGGGAGGGCTGCAGCTTATTTACACAAAGAAATTCAGCAGTCGCCATTCATACCAGTTGCATTTCAAAGCTGGAAGATGCAATACCGAAACTATTTCAGCTTTTGGGACGGTTATTTTTTAGATTTGTCCCATCAAATGGAACATCTCTCCTTTGGAGCCCTCCCAAAGTTTCCCCTTTCTCATTGGACTGTCCTGACCACTTCAAAATTTGCCCCCACCATAGTAATGTATGTTTTCATCAGTATTTTGGGATTCTGCAGGTAGAGTGATATGAAGAGTTAATTTGGGGAAAAAAGACCTGACTATTTTGTTGGACCAGCAGATCTGAAGCTGAGCCAGCAGAGATGTTTCTGCATCACTGTAGGGGTTAACAGCAGGTCTGTTGGCTCCCTGGAAGAGATTGACTTGGCAAACTTTCACGTGTATCCTTGAAGACAAGTAAGTTTTATACACAGCCTAATTAAAGAACAAAGACAGACTGTAAGTCCGTAAGTTTGGGGTGTGAGAACCGCAGTCTTACCCTTGAACATCTCCAAGTATCTCATGATTACTGTCAAATGTATCAGCAATGATGAATAGCCAATTAAAATGTTGTTGCTTGCTTACTACTTGCTTGTTGCTTTGAAAAAGATAAAAAGGAGCTGAGAATAATAAAGAAGAGCTTTCTTATGTTGCCCTGAATCAACTTTCATGTGTGTTTTTATTGACCGTCATGACATAACAGCAACACATCCCCACTAAGGAGCGGGGTACACATGGAAGCATCTACCAGTTGCCCAGGTTCATGATGACTATCTTGACCTTGTCTTTCCTGACAGGTGAAGAAACTACCCAAGATGAAAGTTGTACCTCATCATGCTCTTTGTAGCAATAGGACAAGAGGCAATAATAATAATAATAATAATATAATGGCCAGTCTTTGCGAGCGAAGATCCGGGGAAGGTCTTTCCACCTTCCAGCCTGCGCATTGGATTTTTTAGGTGAGACACAGTGTGCGCGGAACTGAGCCCACCCTTTAATCCTAAGGTTCATCTGCCGGGGCCAAGCGAGCTTGGACGGTGGCAGCGAGGTCCTCAGGACGTAGATGGATTGCCTTTTTAAGGGCTAATGAGCTCCACCTGCCCGGGAGTGGCCCTGACCGGGAATTGAACCCGGGTCTCGGCGGTGACAGTGCCGCGCCTTTACCACTAGACCACCAGGGGCTCCCTACAAGAGGCAATAGGTTTAAACTAAAAGAGCTCTTCCTCACCTTGGGGTTGCTCTTACCCCAGTATTTTCTCCCACCAAGCCCTCTCCTTCAAAAAGCCCCACACCGGAGCAGGAGAGGAACAAACCCAGTAGAGACAGTTGAAGTCAGCCCTGTGATGAGGACCTATTCTTCAATCCAATGCACCACTGAAGCACAACAAACCATGTCTACTCAGCTTTCTTGGCATCACAGTTATTCCCCCCAGCCTAGGGGATGCTACCACCATCCTCACATTCCTCCCCTCATGCACATTTACTAAGAAAAGGGAGCTCTGTGGAAAATTTCTTGGCAACAAAGAGCTGAGAAGCAGCTACCAGATGCAAAGCTGGCTTCATTTTCCAAACCAGATTTGATACCAATGTGGGATTTACATATTTGACAGCACTATGACAGATAACACACTAATGATGCTGACTGAGCCTGGTGCTCTGCACTTTACCCCACTCACATAACATGCAGGAGCCCAAAACCTGAAGCCTGCTCCTCCTAGGGCCCACACACCTTTCCCTCATCCTGCAAGATGGGAGCTGCTTCCCAGGCATCGTCTGGGAAAACCCAAGTGCTATTCACAGATGGGGATTTTCAGCCCCAAAAGACAAAATTTTGTAATTTATTTCCTTGTTACCAGTACCTGAAATGAAGACCTGCACACCAAGAGGAACTGAGCAGCCACAGCAACAATGCTCTGCAGCAAATATGTGGCTTTTCAGCACTTCTCCATTTCCAAAAGCCCAATTCAGACTCAAAAGAATAAACTGCCCCAAAAAGTGGCTTTTGCTCTGCAGCTCAGTAGATGGCAGCAGTGGATGGATGAGATCAGGGGGAGCAAAAGGAATGAGGAAGTAGAAGGTGAGTAACACAACCAGTGGCTACACAGCCATGCTCATGCAACCTGCAGTGTCTTCCCCAGTTGGCTTGGACAGGGGTTGTCAGAGTATCTTGGGAAAGTTTCATAGAATCACAGATTTAGAATCATAGAATCATAGAATCATAGAATAGATTGGGTTGGAAAAGACCTCCAAGATCATCAAGTCCAACCCCTGATCCAACTCTAATTACTATATCATGGCACTAAGGGCCATGTCCAATCTCTGTTTAAAAACCTCCAGAGATGGTGAATCCACCACCTCTCTGGGCAGGCCGTTCCAATGCCTGATCACCCTCTCTGTAAAGAATTTCTTCCTAACATCTAACCTAAACTTCCCCTGGCAGAGCTTGAGCCCATGTCCCCTTGTCCTGTTGTTGGTTGCCTGGGAGAAGAGACCAACCCCCACCTGGCTATAACTTCCCTTCAGGTAGTTGAAGAGAGTGATGAGGTCACCTCTAAGCCTTCTCTTCTCTAGACTAAACAATCCCAGCTCCCTCAGCCTCTCCTCATAGGACTTGTGCTCAAGTCCCTTCACCAGCCTGGTTGCTCTTCTCTGGACCCGCTCCAGCACCTCAATATCCTTCCTGAACTGAGGGGCCCAGAGCTGAACACAATACTCCAGGTGTGGCCTCACCAACGCAGAGTACAGGGGAAGGATCACTTCCCTGCTCCTGCTGGCCACACTGTTCTTGATGCAGGCCAGGATGCCATTGGCCTTCTTGGCCACCTGGGCACACTGCTGGCTCATGTTCAGCTTCCTGTCAATCAGCACCCCTAGGTCCCTTTCCACCTGGCTGCTCTCCAGCCACTCTGTCCCCAGCCTGTAGCGCTGCATGGGGTTGTTGTGGCCAAAGTGCAGGACCCGGCACTTGGCCTTGTTGAACTTCATCCCATTGGAGTCAGCCCATCTCTCCAGTCTATCCAGGTCCCTCTGCAGAGCCCTCCTGCCTTCTAGTAGGTTGACACTCCCTCCCAACTTGGTGTCATCAGCAAATTTGCTGATGATGGACTCAATATTAGGTTGGAAAAGACCTCTAAGATCATTGAGTTCAACCATTAACCCAGCACTGCCAAGTCCATCACTAAACCACATCCCCAAGCACCACATCTATACATCCTTTAAAGCCCTTCAGGGATGGTGTCATGGGTTTGCCCACCGGCACCCCCTGCCCTGGGGCTGAAAATGGCTTTCTCCAGGTGGATTTCCAGAGAAAAAAACCAATCAAAAGTTTTAGTAACGCCTCTGCCAATTACAAATTTAAGAAAACGGAAGAGAAGGTGGTGGCACAGATGAAATTAGGAGCCATGTAGGAGAAGTGGTAGGCCCCAAGGGGGCCAGGGTCCCCTCCTCCTCCAACCCTGAGCCAGGGGCAGGTGTGGCACTGAAGTCCCCCTTCTCTCATGTAACAGAGGAGAGAAAAAAAAACTTTAGAGAAGGATTGACTGCCTGGACAAGACTGCTGCAGAAGGAATTCCAGGCAGAGATAATGAAGTATACAAGGTCAAAACTGGCAGCTGCAGGAGAGAGAAGTTCGAAGGGGGGGGCTGTTTCTCCCCCACCACCACCACCCTCTCTCTCTCCCTTCATCAGGGAAAAGACTGAAAAATAAAACCCTGCCACCTGTGGAAGATTATTGGGGTGAGGAGACCCCCATGCAGCTCATAGAGGAGCTTACACTGAAGTAAGTGGATGCACGAGGAAGCACGAGACTTCATGAGGAACCTGAAATGGGAGTCCTGCTAGAGACTTGTGGACCATGGAGAGAGAGAGAAACCTATGCTGGAGTGAAATGGTTCGGGTAGGATGTTGGGATCTCAGTGAGGGATCCATGATGGTGCAGCTGAATTTGTGACCCTGAGGGGCAGTAGAAAATGGAAGACCTGCTGCCTGATGGATGAACGCATGTCTGAGAGGTCTATCAAGGACTGTTATCCTGTGGGAAGAGACCCCACAGGAAACAGGGGTGGACTCAAAAGCCATTATCCCCTGTGACTCTGTGGTGAAGATCCACGGTAGGCGTGTCCCCTTGCAGTCCATGGAAGACCTTCAGGGCCTGGGTAACCCCCCAGCCTCCGGTCTTAGCCCAGGAAGGAGGCAGGCCCAGCCCTGAGGCCAACATAGAAGAGAGAGAGAAAAAGAAACAGTTCCAACTGCAACGAATAGGAGTTGTTGTCCTAGAGTTAACAGAAGAACTTTTGAGTGCTGAAAAGTTATTGAAAAGACCTGGAGTTCCAGAAGGAGAGAAAGAGACTTCTTCCCCTCCTGAACTGATACAAAGGGGGAAGGGTATTTCTGTAAATACATAGTATTTTTACCTAATTAGAATTGTTGTAGATATAGTTCTTTAGTCTTTTTCTTACTAGTAATAAATCTTAATATTATTTTCCCCAATCAGATCTCTTTTGTCTGTATAAACCTTCTCTCAGCTTATAACAATTGGGAGGTGGGAGTGAGAAAAATTAGCCCAAACCCATGACATTTTTGGTGGAGAATGTGGGCAGAGACTACCTGGAAAGGCAGTGGTTGGATCAAACCACGACAGATGGTGACTATACCACTTCCCTGGGCTAATTGTTCCAATACCCGACCACATTTTCAGTGAAGAATATCCAATATAAACCTTCCCTAGTGCAACTGGAGGCCATTTCCTCTTATCCTATCACTTATTACTTGTGAGAAGGGACCAACTCCTACCTGGCTACAACCTCCTTTCAGGTAGTTGTAGAACACAAAAAGGTCCCTCTAAGCCTCCTTTTCTCCAGGTTAAACACCCCTAGCTCCCTCTGCCACTTCTCATAAGACAAAACCCTCCTTCATGATATACATTTTGTCCTTATGGCTTATTGTCCCAGTTTAAATGAGACAAGGGTCTTTTGTTGAGGATGAATTAGGAGAAAAAGACCCTAACTTCTTTCGCTAAGCAATTATAAATCCAAAATTAAAAGTCTCCGATTGAAGGAAAAGAACAAATTATGGAAAAGGAAAAAAATAACAGTCCTTTATTAAAAGGTATGTGTGTATTAACAGAAACACAAAAAAAACAAGTAAAACAACCAAACAATACTCCTATACCCACAAATAATCTCCTTCAAAAAAACCTGATAAATCGGCAAAAGGAAAACTAAACAGTGCAATTTTGCACCCTTTGGTGCAGTTCCAACCACAGTCAATAGGAGGCGCCGTTGGGTCACTGGAGATGCAGAACTTGTAGTGTCCTATACCAGTCACCAGGTGGCGCTGTGGGATCACTGGAAATGAAGGACTTGTAATGTCCTGTGCCCGCCACCAGGTGGTGCTGTGGGATTACTGGTTGCCACGGGGGGGGTGGGGAGGAAAAAAAACACCCTCTGGGGTGTGTCAAAAAAAAAAAAAAAAACCAAAACAACTCGGTCCCCCTTCCCTTCCCACACATTGGGAAAGGGGAGAGGGAGAAGGGGAAAGGGACCAGGCAGCTCCTTCTTACTCCGGTTGGTCAGTTTCCTCTCCGCCCAGTCCTCTCTCTCTCCCCCTTGGGAGCTCCTCGCTCAGGGAACAGTGAAAGGGAAAAGCAAAAAAAAAGAAAAAACCTCCAGGGGAGGGAAAAAAAACCAGTAGCTCCTATCCAATGAAGGACTCAGGCAGGTTTCCAGCTGGCCAGCGGCTGAGGGCCCAAGAGCAGCACACAGCCTCTCCTCCCACCTTCCTCAGTCACACCAGCCCCCAACTCCTCCCCCCGTTGCCCAGGAGACAAGAGAAAAAGGTAAACATTAGCTCCTTCATCTGCCCTGTTTCCTAGGAGACTAATCTCCCAGCCATTAGCCAGCCAGTTAGTTCTTTGTATCTCTCAAGTGTTCACTTGATAGCTCTAAAGCAGGGGCAGGGGGAAGGGAAAAAATTCCAAGAAACTAGCTGAACCATGACACTTATCATGGGCCACTGCCCAAGAGGAGATGTCAGGTAAGCAATGAATAAAGATGAAAGCAGCTGAGATAGGACACTGTGCTGGAAAGTCTGAATCACACCCGCTGCCCTGACCTGCTGTCTCTGCTTTAACACAAGGACAGCTAAAACGGTAGTGTAAAAACAAGCATTTTCCACTTACGGAAACAAATCTGCTTAATTTTTACCTGAGGCTGATTTAGCCAGAGTAACCCTGTGCCCATTCCCAAGAGGGCACAAACTCTCATTACAAATCCACACCATCATAGTGTTGCCTAAAGAGACCACAGAGAAAAAGACTCCAGGTCAATTTAGTGTATAACATAAAAAGAGCGGGTCCTTTAATAAGGCCTCAGGCCCAGGGCAGTACACACGACACGTGCACACCCAGACAGTGGTTCTATGATTTTATAATAAGGTCCATCCAATCCCAGATCTATCCACTCCCCGGTTCTGCCCAGTTCTGCCCCCTGATATGCCCCCTCAGGAATTGGGTTTGGGGTCTTTGGGACCCCTTCTTCCTCATCTTCACAGCAGGTACAGTCCTTGAAGCTCCTCCAAAGTTCTGGGCTTGAAGGTTGCTGTGTCTGCATGATATCTTCTGGTCCAGGCCTAGGGTGCGATGTTCTTAAACAGAGGTGTTTTTCTACAATTCTACCTTGAAGACTAAACACACTAACGGAATTTAAAGGGATTGATATGGAACGGGGTAACAGAGTTGGGTATGTGTAAACTGCTATGTTAAGGGATATAATACAGCTACATTAAAATCTACATTTACTACACAACTACTTCTAAAATCTACAAAAGTTAAAAATCAAAAAATCTCTGAGGCATCAATGGCTTAAAGGGGCTACAACAGTCAGAGAGAGACTTTTTACAAGGGTATGGAGTTACAGGACAAGGGTGAACGGCTTCATAGACCTAGAGCAGGTCTAGATTTAGTATTAGGAAGAAATTCTTGACTGTGAGTGTGGTGAGGCACTGGCACAGGTTACTCAGAGAAGTTGTAGATGCCCCATATCCCTGAAAGTCTTCAAGGCCAGGTTGCTGTCGTGGTTTTGCCCACCAGCCCATCCCTGGGGCTGAGGATGGTTTTGTCTAGGTGATTTCCGGACAAAAAACCAATCAAAAAGTTCAGTGACGCCTTTGCTAATTACATCTTTAAGAAAACAGAAGAGAAGTTTGTGGCGCAGTTGAAATTAGGAACAGCAGCCATGTAGAAGGGTAGCGGGCCCGAGGAGGGCCAAGGCCCCCTCCTCCCCGGCTTGGGCCGGGGGGGGCAGGTGTAGTACTGAAGCCTCCCTTCTCTTCTGTAAAAGAGTGAAGAAAAAAAAGTTTAAAAGACGAACTGCTTAGACGAGAAACCACTGCAGAAGAATTCCAGCCATGAGATAACAGGACTTCCAAGGTCAAAGCTGGCAGCTGAAGCTGCAACAGGAGAGAGAAGAAAAGTTCGAAGGGGGGAGAACTGCTTTTTTCTCCCTTTCGCTCTCCCTCCCTTCAGCAGGGTAAAGACTGAAAAATAAAACCCTGCCACTTGCGAAAGTTTGTTGGGGTGAAGAGACCCCCCGTGCGGCTCACAGAGGAGCTTGTGGATGTACCAGAGATTTGTAACTTTAACAGAGAAAGCCTTGTGCTGGAGTAAAAGCGGCTCAGATGAGGCAGAGTCCTGTTAAAGACTTTGTAACCCTCGAAGGGGACGATGCTTATGCTGGAGCGAGACGGCTCAGATAAGCTTGGGATCTCAGTGAGAGATCCATGCTGCTGGTGCTGGAGATTTGTGACCCTGAGAGAACCTACGCTGGAACAGAAAATGGTTCGGGTAGGGATGTTGGGATCCATGTGTGGGATCCATGCTGCTGGTAACTAGAGATTTGTGACCCTGAGAGAACCTACGCTGGAGCAGAAAACGGCTCGGGTAGGGATGTTGAGATTTATGACCCTGAGGGAATGAGAGAACCTACGCTGGAGCAGAAAATGGCTCAGGTGGGATATTGGGATCCGAGTAAGGGATCCAGACTAGACCCATGCCGAGAAGTCAATCAAGGACTGTTCTCCCATGGGGAGGGACCTCCATAGGAAAACAGGGGTGAACTCTTAAACCATTATCCCCTGTAACCCTGTGGAAGAAGATCCATAGTAAGCAAGTGTCCCCTTGCAAGCCTATGGAAGGAGACCCTTCAGGACCTGGGTAACCCTCAGCCTTCGGTTTTAACCCAGGAGGGGGGTAAGCCCAGCCCTGGAGGCCAACACAGAATGAGAGAGAGAGAAAGAAGTTCCAGCTGCGACAAAAGTGCTGCAGAGTTACTGGAGAGAGAGAGAGAG